ATAAATGTGTTTCAGCTTTAATAGAACAGTACAAAGATGATGTAGCAACAGTAACAGCTATGATTTTTAGTCACAATCAAGTCACAAAAAAGAATGTTTTAGTAACTATGCTCATTGATCATCTTTGGGCAAATGAACCTGGTCTCACAGACGAATTGTCGAGTACATTGACAGAACTAACTAGTTTAAATCGTACAGAACATAGTCGTGTGGCATTACGTGCAAGGCAAATTCTAATTGCTGCTCATCAACCTGCATATGAGTTAAGACATAACCAAATGGAATCTATATTTTTGTCTGCAGTAGATATGTACGGCCATGATTTCCATCCAGAAAATTTACAAAAATTGATTCTTTCTGAAACATCTATTTTCGATATTTTACACGATTTCTTTTACCATTCCAATCGTGCAGTTTGTAACGCTGCTTTAGAAGTTTATGTCCGCAGAGCTTATATCAGTTATGAGTTAACGTGTTTACAACACTTAGAACTATCAGGTGAAGTACCACTTGTACATTTCCAATTCTTATTACCTAACAATCATCCCAATATACAGAATCAATCTTCGGTTAATCATAGAATTGGAGCTATGGCAGCTTTCCAAGATATGGATCAGTTCGTTCGATATTCTGATGAAGTTTTCGATCTTTTAGAAGACTTATCTTCGGTTACCACAGTTTCAGCCAAAGTTTTAGAAGCAGTAGATGCAGCTGGAAGCGAATCGAGACATAGCACATCTATAAATGTATCTCTAAGTACTGCAGAAACTGCTGGTCCAGTGGAAGTTGGTGAACGACCAACAGAACCGGTACATATTTTAAGTATTGCCGTCCAAGAAAAGGAAAATCACGATGATGCTATAATGGCAAAAATCTTTGGAGATTGGTGTGCTGCAAATAAAGAAGAATTAATCTTACGAGGTATAAAGAGAATCACGTTCGCTGCTTTAAAGAAAAGACAGTTTCCTAAATTCTTTACATTTCGTCAAAGAGATGGTTTTGTTGAAGATAAAATTTATCGACATCTTGAACCTGGTTGTGCTTTTCAATTAGAATTAAATAGAATGAGAACTTATGATCTTGAAGCTTTACCAACTTCAAATCAAAAAATGCATCTTTATCTTGGTCAAGCGAAAGTTGCTAAAGGACAACAAGTCACAGATTATCGTTTCTTTATTCGTTCTATTATAAGACACTCTGATCTTATCACAAAAGAAGCTAGTTTTGATTATCTTCATAATGAAGGTGAACGTGTCTTATTAGAAGCTATGGATGAATTGGAAGTTGCGTTTTCACATCCTCTTGCAAAACGTACGGAATGCAATCATATTTTCCTGAATTTTGTACCTACAGTTATTATGGATCCAGCAAGAATAGAAGAAAGTGTGACCAGTATGGTATTAAGATATGGTCCAAGATTATGGAAATTACGAGTCCGTCATGCTGAGATCAAAATGACGATTCGCCCAGCACCAGGAAAACCAACATCTATAATACGTTTGTGTATTGCTAATGATAGTGGATATAGCATAGATTTACATCTTTATACAGAAATAACTGATCCAAAGACTGGTATCATTCGTTTTGAATCTTATCCTTCTGCAAAGGCAAATGGTACTTGGAGACCCGGACCTATGCATGGTTTACCGATTTCTACGCCATATCTAACCAAAGATTATCTTCAAGCAAAACGATTTCAAGCACAAAGTGCTGGTACAACATATGTATATGATTTACCAGATATGTTTAGACAACAAACCGAGAAACTATGGCATAAATACATAGAAGAAAGGGGACAATCTGATATAACGATTCCGAATACTGTAATGGATTGCGTGGAATTAGTATTAGAGGGTGAAAATTTAGTGGAACAGAAACGTCTTCCTGGTGAAAATAATATCGGTATGGTCGCTTGGAGATTAAGACTTTATACACCAGAATATCCTATAACTGGCAGAGACATTATATTAATTGCGAATGATTTAACACATTTAATTGGTTCTTTTGGCCCCAAGGAAGATTTAGTATTTTTCAAAGCATCTGAAAGAGCTAGACAACTTGGAATTCCTCGAATATATTTTTCCGCAAATTCTGGAGCTCGTATTGGTTTAGCAGAAGAAGTGAAAGGATTATTCAGGATCGCTTGGGAAGATGATGATGAACCAGAAAAAGGATTCAAATATATATATCTAACTCCAGATGATTACGCACGCTTAGCACCATTTAATTCAGTAAAAACTTCGTTGATTGAAGATAAGGGAGAATCTCGTTACAAAATTACTGATATTATCGGTAAAGAGGACGGTCTTGGTGTAGAAAATTTGAAATATGCTGGTATGATTGCTGGAGAAACGTCAAAAGCTTATGATGAAATAGTTACAATTTCCATTGTTCTTGTCGTGCTATTGGTATCGGTTCTTATTTATTACGTCTTGGACAAAGAGTGATTCAAATAGAAAATTCTCATATCATTTTAACTGGATATAAAGCATTGAATGTTGTGTTAGGTCGTGAAGTATATGCTAGTAACAATCAATTAGGTGGTATACAAATTATGCATAATAATGGAATATCACATGCAACTGATGTAAGAGATATAGAGGGTATTGCCACTGCTTTAAGATGGCTAAGTTATTGTCCGAAATATAAAGGAGCGCCTCTTCCTATATTGTCATCACCTCTTCCTGATCCAATTGATAGAGAGATCACTTATGTTCCTACAAAAACAGCTTATGATCCAAGATTAATGCTTGAAGGTAGAATACAAAATGGTACAAATTATTGGGAGAGTGGATTCTTTGATCGTGGCTCTTGGCAGGTATATTTTATCTTATATTAATTATTTGATAAAATAGTCATAATATTTTCTATTAATAAAGTGTTAATAATATTTATAGGAAATAATGAGACCTTGGGCTCAAACTGTAGTAACTGGACGAGCTAGATTAGGAGGAATTCCTTGTGGTGTTATTGCAGTAGAAACAAGAACTGTTGAATTACATTTACCCGCTGATCCTGCTAATCTCGATTCAGAAGCTAAAACAATCTCTCAAGCAGGACAAGTATGGTTTCCTGATAGTGCATATAAAACTGCTCAAGCTATTCAAGATTTTGGAAAAGAAGAACTTCCACTTTTTATCTTCGCTAATTGGAGAGGATTTTCTGGTGGAATGAAAGGTTTTCATTAATTCTTAATAATTATTTTTATTATTTTTTAATGAAATTACTAAGGACATATTTTTTATAGATATGTATGAACAAATTATCAAATTTGGTGCTTATATTGTGGATGGATTAAGAAAATATACTAAACCAATATTTATATATATTCCACCAAATGGTGAATTAAGAGGTGGTGCTTGGGCAGTTGTTGATCCAACAATAAATCCTCGTTACATGGAAATGTTTGCTGACAATACAAGTCGAGCTGGAGTTTTAGAACCTAGTGGAATAGTAGAAATAAAATTTAGAAATAAAGATTTAATTAAAACTATGCATAGAATTGATACAGTAATACAGAAACTTAAAGTAACTATAAATATGATTATAAATATCTATAAATATTATAGAAGTTATTTTTACTTATTATTTATAAATGATACATATGATATACAATACTAAAATCATATTTTATTAATCATATTTATTATAAAATTATTATTTTATTTATTATTTCATTTTAGGAAAACTTATCCAATGTAAATTCATCTGAAGAACGAAAAGAAATTGAAAGTCAAATACGTAAGAGAGAACAAACTTTAGAACCTATGTATCATCAAGTTGCAATTCATTTCGCGGATCTTCACGACACACCAGAAAGAATGTATGAGAAAAATGTCATTCACGATATTATTCCATGGCAAAAAGCGCGAAAATTACTTTACTGGCGACTTAGAAGAAGACTTTTAGAAGATGAAATAAAAAAGGAAGTTCTTTCAACGCAACGAAATTTAGATGTTGATTTTAGACAAGTAGGTGCGATGTTGCGTAGATGGTTCATAGAAGATAAAGGTGCCACAGAATCATATTTATGGGATCAAGATGAAGTAGCGACTAATTGGTTGGAAAGTCAACGACAAGATGAAAATAGTGTTGTTTCGCGTAATATCACTTGTGTAAAACAAGATGCAATTGTTTCTCGAATCAAAGAAGCGCTAGAAGCTTGTCCAGAAGTGAGATTAAATGCAATTTTAGAAATTGCGCACAGACTACATCCAGCAGAACGCACGGAATTGCAAAGAACTTTGTCACAAATAGAAATGACTGCACAGGAGCATCATAATGATTCAAGTGGTTCATCCTAATGTTTCTTTAAATTAAAAAGAAACCTCTTGTCTATTTGCGTACCTGCTGTATGTAGTATGTATTAGAATTAATTGTACAGACACTCGTTATTCTTGTTAATAGCAAATTGTACGGGAGTAGTATAATTTTTGGAAAGTTAATAATTGTTTCTATCGATAGCGTTACATGATGATAGAAAGTAAAAGAACTCGTGTCTTATTAAAGTTCAATAGTGATGCTATCGTGTGTCGGACAGTATCACTGCCATCTCCTAAACCATGGCAAAATGTGCCCTTTGTTTATAATAAGTATATTCATGAATGTAGAAATTATACTTCATATATACATATATATATTTTATGCATATATATATGTATATATATATATTTTTATATGTTATATAAAAATATATATAATTATTATACATATGTATATGTATATATAATATATATGTATATATTTATATATACATATATATATATATATTTCTTTTTAGGAAAAAGTTTGTTCATTACGTTTATTTTTATCGAACGACTAATGTGTACATCGATATTTTTCATGTTTGTCGATAAAAAAAGAAACAACTCGATAAGTAATTTTAAAGTATTAAGTACTATTTTTTCAATCGTGATAAAAAATATCAAAAATTCTTTACTCTCTAGGAATAATTTAATATAAATAAAGGGATAGATAATAAAAAATTTTATGAACTTGAATATTTAACGAAAATAAGGCATTTAATATAAAATAGTTGCTAAATGACCTTTATACACATATATTTTATACTATTTTTAATTCATTGATATCAAGTTCAAATGTATATTACATGCAGTCATATCGTTAGAGACATAAAAAAAATTCTCAATACTCTCTTCGTTTATGTCATTGTCTTTAAAAGACTGGTATCTGACTTCGATGTACATCAATTAAATCATCATCTAGAGTAAGCAGTACCATAAATGAAAAAAACATTGCTAAAGAAGATAGAAAATGCCAAATATCATGACTATCAAAAAAGTGTAAGAACTCGCAGGGTTTATTATAATGACGTGATTGAGCTGGAGTAAGTTCCCATGAAATGGTTTTGTTATAAAAAAATATAAAGCAGCGGCCCAAAATATAATTGATAAAACAATATAAATACATGGTTGAAGTAGAATTCGTTCTTTATGACAAATCTGAAATGTTAAAAATATATTAATTTATAATATAAGAATAATAAATATAGATATAATTATTCGTGTGTATATATATATATATATATATACACACACACACACACACATACCTTCATAATAATATAAAAAGTAGTATATAAAATTAAATTAGACATTAATATGGCTAATAGAAACGTGGCAAAATTTTTTTCTTGATGTATATTTCCAATTACTGCGAGAGCAATGTTCCATAAATTTGCTATAACAAGCATAAAAAAGCGTCCTATATACAAAGGTCGAAATAAATATCCAATTCCAGAACGGGCGTCATGTTTACAGTTCTAGAAAATTATAAAATTAGTGATAAATTGTGCCTAACAAATAATCAGATCAAAACGAAAAATATTAGATTCATTAAATATATGAAATTACCTGTAGTAGTCTTGTTAACAAAGCTCTAAATTTCCATCGTCCCATATAATAAATTTGAATGGTCATAAAAAGACAAGTTAATAGATGTGTGATTGTAAATAAAATCCAAAAATATATCGAGCCATTCAAAACTCCCATCAAGTTTATGAAAATAATGAATGCCAACATTGCAAATGTAACTGATGCCCGAGCATTTATATCAGGGTGTCGAGTTTGATAAATTTTAATCATGCATAATACTGTTATGATGTACATAAAACTTGAATCTAAATGATTAATCTGTCATTAATAATACAAAAAAAGTTGCAATATTTTAATATAAAATAATTATTGTCTTACCAAATTGAAAATTACTTCGATTTGGACATACATGATAACTTCCTGAGAGTATTCCTTCCATAATAAGTGCAGTACCCATTGCATAAAATAATCCATAATGTTGTGGTATGCCATAACATTTATTTTTTTCTTTATCAAATTCATTATGTTCTCGGAAAGATGTTAAAAATATAAATAGAAAACCTAACATAATATATCCAATATTTGAAAATACATGATTAAAATCTGATAATGCTTGAAATGGATGAGCACATAAAAAATTATAATAACACATATCTTGATTGCCAGTAACATGAAGTACATGCTGATATGTAATTAACAGCTGTACTGCAGGTAAAGTATAAAAAATAGCGACCGTTATCAAATAATATAGATATAATCTAGATTTATGCCTAAGAATTTTTGGATCTTTACGAGCCAAATCACAAACAGAAAGTACAAGTTTTGTTCGTATTATTTCCTTATCAGAAAGAGCATCTTCCATCATATCAATATCATCTTCATCCAATGAAGAATCATCATCTATAGATACTGGTCCTGACTGTAATATAATTAATACAATTGATTAAAAAATAGTATTTAAAAAAAAATAAATTTTTGTTTTACCTCTTCTATTGTTGAAGGACTTGGTATAGGTTCATTAATATGTTCTGATTCTTGATTTAATATCTCTTCTTTCATTTGTCTATCTCTTTTAATTTTTAATATCACAGTACTCACAACATAAGTAATACAAAAACTAAAAATAACACATACAACTATTCCTGAAGCAATAATATAATCTCTTTTGGTAATACTAGCATTTATTGTTAATATCACTTGTTTATTTCGTGAAGGAATCATAGTAGGAGTTCCATAACAATCAGTGTCATCACTTTTTACTACAAGTACCACAAAGAAGCCTAATGGAAATTCTTCTTTCTAAAAGATAATAATTAAACTTCACTTAAATTTAATTAAAACAATTAGCTTTATATATTATATAAAATATATTAAAAGATACATTTTAACATAAAAAATATTTACTGGTACAGTTATACCACCCTGTCGAATTACAGTTTGCCAATATCCAGAAAATTCAATATTCCTCTCTAAATCAAACACAGGACACTAAAAAAAGATCATATGACATTATATATAATATACATATATATATATATAACATGTATGAATATGACAATTAGATATAAAGTTTAAACTTACTGATATATTTTGTATTGAAACAGTCATACAAATGTCACTATCAGACTTGACATGAACAATTACAGAAGAATTTTCTACTTGTCCTGAGAAAGTATAACCATAATAAATAGGTTGAGATGGTGAAATTTCTACAGTTTTGTTTTCTCCAGTACTGAAAAAAATGAAAATAATTATTATTAATTTCCTTTATTTTATTATAATTAAATATTAAGATATAACGATAAATTTCTATTGTTATCTATATTTATTAAAATATGTACCTTAAATAAAAATTATGTTCTTTTGTCACATTAAGTATAAATGAAATATTTTGGTGATTAGTAGTGGACACACTAATAATCATAAATTCTTTTTCCTGCTTTTCATTGAGATTATAATTGGTTGAACATAGAGTTCTACTTGTTTTATTATATTCTGAATTATTAAAATACATACTCTTTACTATAAGAGGGATTTGCCACGATAAGAATTCTTTTTTTTGGCGAACAACTACTATAAGAGGTAGATTACTAGTAGCATTGCTTTCAACTTCTATTCTTACAGTTTCCATTGAAGTTACCTAAAAGTAAAACATATAATAATATTATTAAGGTTATATAAAAACTATAATATTAATTTATATAAAAATGTTTATACTTACATTATTAATAGGATATAAAAATACATATTCAACATTAATATTTATGGCAAATTGATATGCTGTATAATTTGCCATAATAACAATAGAAGAAAATGATTGAGATTGCAAAAGAATAACTTTGTGAAAATTAAATAATAATAAAGTAATCACCATTAAAATTTTCTGCATAATTAACATATTAAATAATGATATATAATTATATTAACCAAAATTTTTATAAAATACATAAATGTATACATAAATATATTCAATTCTAATTAATATTTGTACTAAAAAAGTATCAATTTAGAAAATTAATTTTCTCATTTACGAAAATCAAATATAAAATTTGATATTTTAGTATGCAAGGACATATTTTTTAGATATAATAAAAATAATATTGATATTGACAGTCACAAAATGATTACTTGCTTAAACGGTATAACTGCTAGAGCTTAAAAGAAAACATTCGAAAAGAATGCAAACTTGATTGGTTATTCTGATAGATTTATAATTATAAAAATAAAAATGTCTATATATCAAAAAAATTATGACGTGAACACTTTCAATAATCTTTTAAAGAAAATTAGTTATGCAAATATAATTACATAAATATATATTGCATATTTATATTCAACTATGTATATAGTTACTTAATTATGTTAACATTATGTTATTTTTCATATTAATTCATGTTTTACTATGAATAAAATCTTCAAATTCTACATCGAATATTACTTAACGATTAAAAAATCAAAATCTATATATATCATATTATCATATTATATCATAAAATAAATATATATTATATTATGATTTAATAAATAAAATAAAATTATTATTAATATCTATATTTTTCATATTGTATTTTATTAATTTTTCAATCTTTCTTTTATTTTCAATATTTTATTTGATTATGATTATGATTAAAAGATTATGAATTTAAAAGTTTTATTATATTATTATATTATTTTTGGAATATAACTTAATTTTATTATTTTAAAATAATATTAAATCAACAAATAAATCATTTATTCGTAAATTATTATTATACCATCAAAAATTATATTTAATTATTTAATAAGAATTTAAAAATATAATTAAAATAGAAATTGTATATATTTTCCCTGTAAAACTACTTACATAATTTAAATTTTTAATAAATATTTCGTTTTCAACATTTTGTATATTTTTTAAAAGTAATAAATTTATTATTATCTATATTCATTCAGAATTCTTCAATTCTCTATATATTATAATTAGTTAAAAATATCTTTTTTTTAAATATATATTTTTAAACATCATAAAAATAATTTAATATAATTAATATTTAATATTTATAATAATAATCATAATAATAATAAAATATTATTTTTTCTAGAGTAAACCTTGAAAAATTATATTACAAGCTGATTCAACTTTAATCATTGTTATTAAAGATGGCGGTATCCGTGGCACCGAAGGATGTTAATACATATTTAAGTCAAAATCAAAATGTTGCAGACAAGGAATTGGCTGCAGAATGGGCGCAACTTGAAGAATTATATAATAAAAGGTATTTTTTAAAAATATTTTATATTATATATATATTCAATAGAAAAAATTTTCAAAATTCAAGTTTCATTGTCCGGTGACTTGCAGGCTTTGGCATCAATTGACACTCAAATTGGAAACATTCGTAAAAAATCCAGTACTTCAAAAAGGTGATAAATTAGTAGAGTTATATCTAAACTTTTTATCAACTTTTGAAAACAAGTAAGCATATATCTATTTCTTTGAAATGTTAATTTATAACCTCACTTATTTGATTCATATAGTGATTAAGAGTATTATTTTATTATTATGATTATTCAAAATACATATTTTTTATATTTAGGATAAATCCTTTATCATTGGTAGAAATATTAGCATATGTAATACAACAATTTCAAGATAAACAAGAAGCAATTAAATTCTTGGAAAAAACAGAATCTAAAGTTAAAAGCAATAATGAAGCTGTTGCTTTATGTAAAGTCCTTACTGGACAGATTTTGCTTGAAAAGTTAAATAATCAAGAACAAGCAAAACAAATTATAGAAGAAGTAGAAGCTATGTTAGATAATGCTGATGGTGTTACAACAGTTCATGGTAGATTTTATTTATTAGCCAGTCGTCTTTATCGTCTTCAAGGAAAACATGCTGAATATTATCGTACTGCTTTAAGGTAATATTATACTTACAAGTTTTATAATAATGAAAAATTTCAATTAGATTTTGTATTTTAGATATTTGGGTTGCATTGATTTAAACAGTTTAAATAGACAAGAACAAGAACAGCATGCATTTTTCCTTGGATTAGCTGCACTTTTAGGTGAAGGAGTCTATAATCTTGGAGAATTATTAGCTCATCCAGTTTTACAATCCTTGAAAGGTACCCCAAACTCTTGGTTAGTTGATTTATTACAAGCTTTCAATGCTGGTGATATTGTTGCTCTTGAAAAATTAAAGCCACAATGGAGCAAAGTTGCTGATTTAGCTGCACAAGAATTAAAATTAAGGCAAAAAATATCTCTCCTATGTCTCATGGAAATGACTTTCAAACGACAAGCTAATAATAGGTTTTTATATTGTTTTATTATAAAAATATTAAAATATTATATAAAGTAAACTAATTTATATTAAATAGATTATTTTTTATTATAGACAATTGACATTTGCGGAAATTTCTCAAGAAACTCGTTTACCATTGGGTGAAGTAGAATTATTAGTAATGAAAGCTTTAGCTCAAGGTTTAGTTCGTGGTGCTATTGATCAAGTAGCAGGGACAGTAAATATGACATGGGTACAACCTCGCGTATTAGATCGTACGCAAATAGCTGGAATGGTTCAACGACTCGATGGATGGTGTAAGGATGTTAGTTCAATGGAACGTTTATTAGAGTCTAGAGCATCTGAGATTCTTACACTTTAATATTAGGTTTGGAAATTTTGCATTGATCCGTTGATAAGTTTTATTCTTATAGCTTTATTAACTCATTGGCTTACCATTTTTAAACAGAGAAAATATAATTTACTATATTGAATATAAATAAGTAATTATAAACAAAAAAAATAATTAATTCATCATGATAAATCAATGAGTTAATATAAAAAAAGATATAAAATACATTTTTTTTAAATTAAACAAAATTATAATATTATGTACAAGTGAATGAAAAAAAAATATAAATTTATTTTTAATTTAATATTCTAAAACAATTTAACAATTTAATCTAAGACAATTATGTTCAAAAACTTTGTACTATTAAAATATTAATAATAACAATATATATTATCATTTATTGTGTTTTTTTTTTATTTTATATATATTTTAGATATATACTATTATTAATCTATCAACTTTGATTGAAGATAAATGTATCGGAATTTTTGATTGCATAAATTTTGTAAAATATAAAAAGATGGATAACGAAAAAAAGAATAGGAAAAAGATAAAATACAAATTTTAAAATCATATTCAGAATAATATAAATGAAACATATATAAATAATGAAAGCAAATAAAGATAAAATAAGAATTGATTTTCAACGATATTTCGTGAATATTAAAATCTTCAAACATCTTTTTAGAAGCATTCAAAAGATAATACTGATAACAATTTTTACTATTTTTAAAAAGATCTCAAAAGATGGCGTTAATAGTTAATTCTATTTCTATCTATTTTTTTATTTAAAGCATATAATAAATATAAAATTATTTCAAAATATTATATATATTTATAAAATATTCTATAATATTCAATAATTCATTATATATTAATATTATATTTATAATTTTATTTTAATTTTAATTAAATTAACATTATTAATATTGGAATCTTATTTTGAGTCGAATCGATTCAAAAATATTGAATATTAAATATTAAATGTATTTATTTTGTACTTTATTTTTATTAAAAAAACTAAATACATAATATTAAATCGATAATATTGGAAATGATGAATATCATAAGAAAATTGTAATTATTGTCATATTATATCATATAAAAATGCATCGAATATTAAATCTATTTATATTTAGTTTATGATAAATTTGTATAAAAGTAAAGTATAAAGAAATTTGTAAATTTTGCAAAAATTTCAAATTTTATGTTTATTAAGTGTTTACCTTCAATATTACATTTATGTTCAACATTACATTTTTAATGTTATATTTCATACTATATATATATATATACATAAGATCATATAATAAAAAATAATTAATTTATTATGATTAACGATTACAAATCTATCATTCAATGGCATCCAGAAATGATATTAATTTCTGAAAAACCAGTAACATGGAAAGGATTTTTAAAAGTTTCTTGTAATTCAGGACGAAATATGCGAATTAAATTAAAATTAATTGTACATAATTATCCATCATTATGTGATGCTGAAATTAATTTTGGTAAAGAAATTGCATTTATACGCAATAAAGAATTTAGTGAAAAAGTGAAGAATTTAATGCATAATGTGAATAAAATATCAATTTTTTTAAAACAATTACAATTACTAATTGTGAGTAATAAATTTTTATATACTTGTCTTTTTTTTTATTCAATAATAATGTATTAATTGATAATATTTGATAATATATATATATATATATATATTAACAACATTATTTTTTTGTAGAGTAATTTCATTAACAACAGATATATTATTGAAGATAATAGATATGAAGCCATAGATAATCAAGCAATGGAAATATTAAAAGAAATAAAAGATGTACTTGATACATCATCTGTATGTGAAAAATATATATAATTTTAATTCTTAATATAAAAAGCAAAAAAAGATTCATATTATTAATTCATTCATTGTTTAAAAAAAAAATTATTAATTATTAATACTTTAGTACTATTAGACCATTTTTGAATTGTGATAATTATAAATGTTATTATTATAGGGAATTCAGATATTATCTAATAATAATTTGAATATAATTAAATTATCTTTAAATAATATTGCTATAAAATTGCAAAGAATAAATCATAGGACATATTCATGGACAGTTGTTGATTCAGATTTACCTGAAATACCTGCTTTAGGACCTTTTAAAAAAAATATATCAACATTAATTATAGCAAGAAACATACTTAAACTTCAAGTAGAAATACTTGAAAAAACATGGTCAAATTTAAAACAAATTGATGAGTAAATATATAGATAATTATGAATATTTATTTTTTATTTTTTTCCAATACTTAATATATATGTTACTTTTAAATGAATAGGAATTGTTGGATAGTAGATCCATTACAACCAAAACCATATCATCTTTATCGACGAATTTATTTAACACCATCTTTATCAATGTACATTAAAATAAATCCTTTGAACCCTATGGATTTACCAGAAATTACATTTATGGGTAGTGATACAGAAGTTAAATCAAAAAAAGAATTGATTTCTAAGAAGTTACATGTGTGGAATATATAATTATTATTATTTTTATTTATATTTTAAAATACATTAATATATACATTAATATATACATTAATATATAATAAAAACAATATTAAGCACTATAATATTTTTTCAGAATTGGAATCCAAATCATGATATTCTAAATAATTTAAAAATGTTATTAGATATAGACACATTTCTCAAAAAGGAAATAAATAAAGAATCTACAGAAGATAATAATGCAATTGTTGCCGATGAAGAATGTTGTATTTGTTTTTCTCTACAATTAGATAATGAAACTTTACCTGATAAAATTTGTAGTAATGAAAAATGTAAAAGACATTTCCATACATCTTGTCTATTAAGAGTATGAATATTACATAACTTTTAAATTAAAATATAAATCTTTATTTAATATTTATTAAACTATTTATATTTACAATATTATATTTATATTTATTTTGTTTTTAGTGGTTACAAACAATTGTTGGAAATCATGTTATATTTGATCATATTCATGGTTCATGTCCTAATTGTAAAGAAAGCATATCATGCTATATTAAATGGTATAATATAATTATAAATTATATAAATATTATTATTTATTATTTAAACACATGTACATGTGTATAATTCATGTGTTTTATCCACTGCTCAACATAATTATTAAATTGATTAGTGCCACATATTAAAATTAATGTAGTATTAACTATTTTATTTTTAAGTACTTCATAGATTGATTTTTTATCCAATCTTCCAGATTTTATATTTATACCATGGATATTACAAACATCTAAAATATAAAATGCAAAAAGGTATTTTGAAAAAAAATTTTTTAAAAACTTATTAAAAATATATAGAAATATCTGAGTTACTTTGTATTTGTGATATGTGCAAAGTACATTTGAAATTCCAATAATCTGATAAGATTTGTAATTCTCTTTTTAGAGGAATCTGCAATATATTTTTAAATCCTCCAATAAGATGAATCTTTGTTTCTTCTAATTCATTTTCTACAATTGATTTTGCTATATGATAAACTGCAGTTATTCCAGATCCCATAGAAAACATAATAATTGTTTGAAAACTGAAAAGTATTTAATATCTTTAAAATAATTTTATATTTCTTTACTATTAAATTTATATTTTATTAAATTATAAATAATAAATTTATAATTTCTTCTTCTGAATATATATTATATTATTATTAATTTATATACCTATTACTTTCATATTTAAAATTTCCATATGGTCCTCTAATATGAATTATATCACCTATTTTTATGTTCTTTAAATATTGACTAAATTTTCCATTTGGATAAAGTCTAATTAGAAATTCAATACAGTCATCTGTGAAAAGAATTGGTGTGAATGGTTTGGTAATGTCATGTAAATGTAACATAACGTATTGTCCAAGATCAATTAATATTCTTTTATTTTTGTAGTTATTTTCTAAAAAAATTAATAATAACTATTAACAATATTACAAATTAAAATTAAAATTAATATATAATTTTCATAAAATTCATTTAAATATTCATTTGTTTTATATACCATAATATTTCAAAACAATTAAAATATAACATTCAGATCTCTCTTCTATATTGAAAACTACAAAATTTTTATATTTATACAAATGAAGTATGTTTTCTTTATTTTGTATTTTTATATTTTGTTTTTTTTTCTTTCATATTCTTCGAGTAATTTTTTATGTACATCAAAAATGCAAGGATCACATGCACTATGGCAACAATCTTCCTCTGATGGTGTTATTGGTCTACTATTTTCATTATTATCAGCACACATATTATGTAAAAAAATATTTCGAAATTTTATGTAATATGTAATAATTTTTTTATAAATATTTTTTAAAAATTCACAAAAAAGTAATAAAAATTTTTCTTATAATATTATAACATTAAAATAATAATTTTTTATTTTCAAAAATATAATAAATAATATTTTTTACTAATTCGTTGTTTCTTTATATATTTTATAAAATTTTTATTATTTATAGATAATTATCGTTTTGTGTTAATATATATTTGCTTTTACCATTTGTTTATATATCTATATTAGAATAATTAGATATGTATATTCAACATCATCTAATAACAATCTACTAACTGTTGATGATCAGCTGATCAACTGTCAAAAATATTAGATTTATATAAACTATAGTCTGTCTGAAAATGTAATGTCGTCATAAATTATTATGTGAATACTGTATATATAATACGATGAGATTATATTGATATTATTTATATTTTAATCAAAATGTTTATGGTTTTTTGTAAAATAATTTTTACAATCTTCTCTATATCGTAAACAGAAAATACATATAAATATCTATCATTAATCTATTATATATATATATCATACTTATTTTTTGACTATGAAAATATATATAAAATATTTAAAATATAATATTTATTGAAATAAATATAGATATATCGAAATAATAATGAAACAAATTTATTTATTAATTACAATGGATGACGTAGCGTATCAAAATGATTCGCACAGAGTTAAAGAATAATGTTGAGATATCGTTAATCGTGATCTAGTGAATTTTATTATATTTTAATAATTTAATATTATACTATCAAATATAATTAATATTTTTACGTAATTTAAACTTATATGATTTATACGTAATTAAATTTTTATATTATATTATAGATAAAATATTTTATATAGTTCAATTTACAACTAAAACGTACATATATAAAATGGAAAGAACAATTACAGAATGGAAACGTTATGCATTGGTACAACCGCCTATGATGATGCTAATAATTGCTCAAGCAATATCAAGTAATTATATATTTGTATAAATATCATAATATATTTAATATATATATAATTTAATTTAATGTATATAATTGTTATATAATACTTATTACAATTTGAATTTTAGACTATAAAATAATAATAAGATAATAATAAAACAAAATAACAACAATATTAGATTATACTATGATATATGAAAGATATTTGAACAATATGTAACAAATTCTCTTTTTTTTAGTAAAAAGTATCAAATCATTATTCTCATATATATCAATATATGTAATTTTTTATTTTATTGATAAAATAATTTTTTATGATATAATTTATTGATTTATTAACATATTTAAATGAGTCAAATTATTATAAAGTGAGTATTATATGTTTTTAATTTTAGGTAATATTTTAACAGATTTAATAATATATCGTACTTGTAGTATAATATTAAATATAAATAAAACAGAATGTTTGCTGTTACATGAAAATAGTACTTCTGCAGAAGCATTAAAAATAGATGCACATGTTCAACCTAAAGCAAGCTTAATTTTAATGACAAAGTCAATTGTTGAAAGTATTATTCCTGCTTTATTATCTTTGTTTTTGGGACCATGGAGTGATATATATGGAAGAAAATCTATTATATTGTCTGGCTATATTGGTTGGTATTGTATGTTTTAAAAAATTAATTAAATTTATTTAATCTGTGATTTTTTTGTCACAGGTATATCTTTAACATATTTTGTTCTTTCTTTTATGACTATTTGGGATATCAATCCATGGTTTTTGTTAATTGCATATATTCCATATGCTTGTTGTGGAGGATTTTGTATAATTTTATTAGGTACTGTTTGTTATCTTTCTGATATATCAAATGAACATGAAAGAGGATGGCAATTAGCTTGGATGGAAGCTTTAATATCTATTGGTATTTTAATTGGTATATTAGCTGGACCCATTATTTTTAAAATATATGGATATACACTTGTATTTGTTATTGCTACTATATGTTGCATTTTAGCAGGATTACATATTTGCTTCTTAGTTCCTGAAACAACACACATCACAAATTCAGTATGTATTTTGCAATAAATATACTATTATTGTAATATAATATTTTTAATATTTGTAGATAACTATAAAGAGTTTGTTTAATATTCATTTGGTTAGAAAACTTATAAGCACATGTACTAAAAAACGAGATGGTTTCAATCGCTATATAGTTTGGTGTTGTATAATTTCTATTATTTTAATAGTCATTGCTATGCAAGGAGAAATGACTATTGGTTTCTTATTTGTAAGTGCTAGATTTGGTTGGGATGTAAATAAATATTCCATTTATTTGGCTACAAATATAATACTTATGATTCTTGGAATAACATTTGGAGTAAAAATGTTAATAACATATGGAGGTAGTTAAATTTTATATTATATTCTATTAAGAGCTTTTAAAAATTTGATAAAAAAAGAATTTAATCAGAAAAATAATATTTTTATAGGATTTTCTGAAGAAACTATAGCTATATTTTCATTATTGTCTTCTTTGAGTAGTAGTCTAGTACAAAGCTTTACATTGAAACCTTGGCATATGTATATATCTGCAGTAGTAGGAATGTTTAGTGGTATTGCTAATCCTATGATTCGTACTATATTATCTAAATCAGTACCATCAGAAGATACTGGTAAATATTGTTAGATAGAGAAAATAAAACATTTTTTTTAATGAAATTAAACAATATTTTTAAAAATATTTAGGTAAAATATTTTCTATGACAATATCTATTGAAACATTAACTCCATTTGTGGCAGCTTCTTTATACAATATGATTTATTTACATTTTATGCCACCTATGTATCCATTACCAGTTTGGTTAGTGTCTGGGGGAATTTATATTATTGTAATACTTATTTTAATAAATATACGAATTCAAAATGCAAAAATTAATTCTGCAAGATATACAGCATTGATACAAAATGATGAATCATCATAAACTTTGTTAAATATTTATTCTAAAAGAAAATTAAAATGAATATATATGTATTATATTGTATTATATTATTATATATTATATATTGTATTATAATGAAAGAATTTGATGTAAATATTTATGAATATTATACTTTATATTGTTTTGTTTTTATAATATAACAATAATAATCAACAAAATATAATCAATTTTAATTAATTCTACTTAAATTTTATTAGTAATTCATTTCTTTATGATTATGAAATTCATGAAAGACAATGAAATGTAAATAATTTCTATTAATAAATCTATATAATTTATAATTCATCATAATAATCAACATGATCACCAGATTTATATTTTTGTTCTTCAAGAATCATTAAAAGACGATTAACTGTTTTTTCACAAGTTACAATCATTTTTTTTGTTATTAAATCATTATATTGTCTTTTAACATTTTCATCAGCTACTTTGGTGCAAAGTTCATAGTACATATCAGTTTCAACTGGTCCTGGTGAATAATTTAATACATTCACTTGTGGATTTTCTAGTGCAAATACCTGTATAATATAAATAATAAATGATAAATATAATAAAAATTGAAATATTTAAATTATTTACATTAATATAAAATTATTACTTTAAAAAACATTTCTCGAGCTGCTTTTCCACTACAATAATAAGCCATTGATTTTTCTGGTTTTATACCAAGCAATGATGTAATATTTATAACCAGCTTTTTAGTATTTGTATTTTCATTAAATATTTTCATAATAACTCCATTTAATATAGCAGGAACAAACACATTTAAATTATAGTAATCATGCCAAACATTTAATTCTGTTAAATCATTTGTATATTGATTAATATTTCCTATTGAACCAACATTGTGTATTACAATTACACGATCAAACTGATCTAAAATCTCATTTTTCAAAGATTGTGTAATAATATCTAAAATCATACATTTGTATATATATATATAATTATTTATACTTATGTATAAAATATATGTATAAAATATATCTACCATGCAATTTATCTTTTGTTGCTTTAGCTAAATCAATACTAACAGTATCAACAAATATATTTGATGGAATATTTTTTGCTGTTTCTTTTAAAGCATTCAGATTTGTTGCTAATAGAAGAATATGTGAACCTTTTTCTAAAGCTGAACCAAATGAAATTGCAAGTTGTTTTCCAATTCCACGACTTGCACCAGTTATTACTAAAAATATTTTTCCAGATAATATTTTGATCGACATATTTTTTTTTAAATTTTAATTACTACTTTATTCTTTAAATAGATAATTTACAATTTATTTATTTATTAGTCAATTTCTTTTTGTTGCTCAGATTCATTAATAATTTGAAGACTATCTGCTTTCAAAAGATGAACTAATTCACTAGCAGTTAATGCCTAAAAAATAAAATATATATATTTTAAATATATGTAAATATAACAATATAATAATTATAAATTAATTTATTTAATAATAAATATGAATTATTTATATTTGCATAATTACCTGTAAATGAGGTGCTATATGTCTTATTAAAGGATTTGAAACAAGTTCAGTATCTTCTTCTGTTTCAAGCTTACATCCAGAAGTTATTAAACGTGCAATAGAATCTTCTTTTGTCACATATAAAGATGTTATAAGATCTTTTTTTGATGTACCTTTTTGAAGAATTCTAAGTCTGGAATCTAATATAATTTAATAATTTCTAAAAATTTGCATAGAAATATTTTACTCTATATCTATTTCTACTCTATATCTCTATATCTATTTTATTATTTTCCTATAAAATAATATATTTAAAATAAAATAAAATAAATATAAAAATAAAAAAAAACATTTTTGTGAAATTGTTAATTACAATATGTTACATACTGCATATAATGTAAAAAGAGAAATAATGAAATGTAGTAAAATTTTTATTAAAACTTACAAAGTTTTTCCAAATATTCTTCTGAATCTGCCAATCTGATTTGTTGTGATTGATTAACTACAAAAGAATCTTCGAAAAAGTTTTCACACTTATTATTACCGATTTGTGGAACATCCGTTCCGCTCCATGGATCAGTAATATCTGACTTCATGTTTTACGTAATTGCAAAATTTCATAAATTTTACAAAACTTGTTTTGAATAAAGATCTAGTAACTTGTTTTATTCTTTACATGTATTGTATATTTAGGTTATCAAAGTAAGATTGATTATCAAGGCAAGTGTCATTTATTTTTACTGATTAGTTATTAATCAATGAAGTGACTTTTTGTATTGTTTACGTAATTTTTTCTTGTATAATTTTATTAATTTTTAAAATTTTATCTTTATAAATATTTTTGATAGTAATATTAAAATTTTAAAGTTTCATTTATGAGTTTAAAAAACAATTAAAAGAAAAATGGATGTTTCGAATAAAATACATTTTATTTAATGTAATTAATATATATAATTAAGTTTATGAATTATAATAAAATTATATTTATGTATAATTAAATATATAAAATATGAATATAATAAAATCTATTTGATAAAAAATTTTCAAGTTTAAAATTAATTTTAAAAAATATAAAATAATAATATATAACTTATTATAGAACTAATATCTAAAATCAGATCTTGATACTATTTTCTTGTCAAGATTAAGATATGTATATATATTTTTTCTTATGTATATCTAGATAAAATTTATTAATATAAAAAGATATTATTTATCAATTTTAAAAAAAGCAAAAAAAAGTATATAAATATATAAAAATATATAAATATTTATATTTTCAAAGTTAAATAATTTTAAAATCGTTTTATTGTAAACTTCGAAATATCTAAATATCATAATATAATAAACACATGATTTTCATGAATAATTTATTATTGGTATACAAATATACAATAAACATACATTTGATAAGTAAAAAGCATAAATTCATATAGAAAAATGTTTACAAAAATATTGATTTTTTTATATAGAACAAGCAAGTATTAATACTATTTATTACAACATTGAGACTTCAGTCTAAAATAGTTTATCTATTTGTTTTTTTTTTCTTATATACACTTATCTATGTATATAATATTTTTTTTAAATACCATGTTTTTGTAATAGAATAAAATGATACCATTTTATATACATTTAGTAATATTAGAATAATTTTAAGTACTTTTCTATTTTTTCATTTATAATAAATGAAAAAATATAGTACAAAAAATGTTTGTTAAGTTATATGGTAACCAATTAAAAAAATATATTGTGAATATAATACATTTTAATATAGATATAGAAACAAAATGAATAATAAAAATATTAATTTTAAAAATTATAATGACATATATTTGTCAATATACTTTAAAATTAATACTTGATTATATAATTTTTATACTTTGCTCATAATATAGCAAAATGGATATTGTATATACTTTTTAATAGTAAAAAGTTATATAAAGATAATATACATATTATATTTAGATGTAGATATTAATTATAAGCATACATTATCTTTTTTTCATTTAAAGCATATATATTAAATTTATAATATTAATATCAAAATCCAGGAACATTAGTTCTACTAGAAGTAGCATAAAAATTGAATTACTGCATATAATTCCATATATCTTAAACATATTTTATACGGAATTTGCCAAACTATAATTATATATGTTTCATGAACATACAATATAATTTCATACAATTTTTAATATAAACATAAATTATTTTCATTAAAAAACAAAAAAATCAGTTCTTATTTATCTAGATTAAAATTTAAAATTTGAGCAAAGATATATTCAATTTTTTAACATATTACAAATATTAAAATTAAAAAAAAGTTCAAATTGCAGTAAAGAAAAATATATAATATATTATTACAATATTTGATTAAATTTTATAATTATATTATAATATAAAAAAATAATGTTATTTCTCTAACAATAATTAATTTAAGAAAATTATGTTTTAATATTTTCTAATTTTCTGTAAAGTAATAAAATATATAAAATTAAATCAAATATGTTAAAATGTAAAACTTCAAGAAAGTCTTTTTAATAATTTAATTTAAATATAAATATTATGCTTTTACCTTCAAATTATTAGTCTTTATTTTTTCTCTTTTTATTGTTATTGTTATTATATTTCATAATTTTTTAAAAAATATTAAAAATACTATTTTATTTTTAAACTTTGCAAAATAGATAATATTGTGTTTGCTAAATATAAATTAAAATTTGACTCAATTAATTTATGATGTAATTTAGAATAATTTAGAAGCAGATTTAAGACATTTGAACAGTCTTATATCTTTTTATATTTTATATACAAAAATTATATAATTTGATAAAATTTAAATTTTATAATCACAGCGCTTACACATTTAACATTTTTAATATATTTCTTAATAATTTATGAAAAAGTTTCAAATAATAATTATATTGAGTCATATAAAAAAAAATATGCTTGTAAAAGATAAATTGCTTATGTAAGTATACATAAAGATGTATTATTAAATAATTAATTTCTAATAATTCATTTATATGCATATAATAACAATGCAATATTATATACTTCAATGTGATGTATGTATTTTTATGCATTAATGATGTTGATGAAATTTTTAACTCTTTATGTCCTATCTTTTTTTAATGAAATATACTAATTTTTTAATATTATATGATAATTTTCTAAATTTTCTGTGTTATATTTTTCAAATGATAAATAATATTTTGATTGTAATACTTTATGTATTAGAAATAAGGACATAAAGAATTAGCATTTGAAAAAAAGTATATTATAATTCATACTTTACGAAATATTGCAGTATGAAAAACTGCACAATTATAAATATAGTTTACATTATATAATAATATTAGTGATAATAACGCGATAATATGTAATATATTTTTAAATTCTAAAATTAATAATTCTATTAATAAAGAAAAAATCACAATAGGCAAGTAGCCAATTACATACTAGTAATAAAAATATGATTATATTATAATAAATTATACCAGACCTGGCTTCAGGAATTTTACAAATAGTGTACGACTTAGTTATCAGAATTTATATTTATGTAAGAAAATTAAAAAAAATTATTTTTCAAAATATAAAAGATTTAATTATTGAATAATAATAATAATATAAAATATATAAAATTATTATTCAATTTAAAAAACTATTCAACTATACTTAATTATAGTAATTTAAAAATATTATGAAAAGTACATAAATATTTTTTTAATGAATAATAATGAAATAAAATATTTGAATTATTAAAATTCAGAAATTCTGATAACAAAATAGTCATACTTGATCACAGAGAGTATTCTAGAGAGTCTAATTATTATTTATGTACTACTAGAAGGTCTTTCACAACAACATAACCATCTGCGCCATAATGGTAAAGGTTTTCTACGTCTACATAACAAACTAGCACCACCTCTCCTTGTGTTAAGAGCACTAACTATTGCTTGATCAAATGCTTCTTTAAGATCATGTTGAGTTAATGCAGATGTTTCCACATAACTTACAGCTTCAACTTTTTGAGCCAATTGATGCCCTTGAGTACTTGTAATTGGTGTTTGACCATATCTTGCTAATTGTAACATAAGATGTACATCTGATCTTAAATCACTCTTTGTGCCTACCTAAAGTTATCATTATTCTTGTTTAAAATAAGGTTGAAATATAATTTTGTTGATTTATAATTATAAAACAAAATATATCTTTACCAAAATAATTGGTGCATTAGGACAATATTTTCGTACTTCATTTATCCATCGAGAAGTTACATTATGATAAGAAGAAGGACATACAACACTAAAACAAACTAGAAACACATCTGTTTCTGGATAACATAATGATCTTAAAGGATCAAAATCATCTTGACCTGCTGTATCACATAGCTGAACATTTACTGGTTGACCATCAACATTGACAACCACTAGAAGAAATTAAAATATTTAAAAAGATTATTATATATATTTCTTAATTTCAAAAAGTACTTGATTTCTATAAATTTAAATTTATTCATTTATAGTTTAATTTTCATAAATTTAATTTATTTTATATAAACTTGTTATTATTATATAGATTAATGATAATATTTGTTTGTATATTAATTATATTAATCCATTTAGAAAAATTTTAATTTTGATATATTACAGGTCAAAATGAAATAATTATTAGATATTAAAATTATTGAAAAATTGATTTTATAACATCATTAATTTGATAAATATAATTTTAATAAAAAGATATGCAAAAATAATAATAAAATGAATTTCAATTATTTATTATGTGTAATATATATTTTACATATTTAATTATATAAAATATTTATACTAAATTTTTTTTCATTTATAAAATATGTATTAGAAAAACTCACCATTTTTATTTCTACCTATTTCAATTAAACTTGTCACTATTTGAAATATCACTTACCACTATTACTAGATTTTCAACTAACCATTATAATTATCAAAAGCAGTAGGTATATATTCTCCCGGAAAACCATTTGTAGAATAAGAAACAACTAGACTGGTTTTTCCAACGGCTCCATCACCTACCAGAACGACTTTGATTCTTCTGTCAAGAGGAATACCACTGTGTTCTGTGCCACTACCATTTGAATTCTGATTTTGTGTTGAACAAGTTGTTCGTTTCGATTGTAGTTGCATCGTTTGACCATTCTTAATAAGAGGTTTAGTCCAATTCGTATGTGACGACGGTGGCATTATTTCGCTCTTTATTTTACTACAACCACGAGCTTTCATGCGTATATTTCTGAAAATATTTTACATATAACCTCTACTTGGACAAATTAAAGCAATACAATTGTTGTATCTATCACAATAGATTTCTTTTTCGAATCGCCATTTCTTTTTCTTTCCGTTAACACTCGTGTTTGCAAGATTACAGATTAAATTTCCGATAAGGAATTTTCTATACACTTCAGGTACTGTGTATATCACTCGAAAACAATGGGAGAACGTATACCATCCAGAAAAGACAAAAAAAAAGGAACTGATCCACCTGCCACGATGCGGAGCCACCTGTTATTACACTTTTCTTGCGGTGATTACAACCGGTGGCATTGGTACACTACACAACTATAGAAAATTGTTTTTATTTTGATCTACCATTGTCTTAAATAAACAGTTAAATTTGTTCGAGTATTTTAATTAAATAGAATAACTTAAATAATCATATTCACATATGTAAAGTTATCTCATAAAAAATATATTTTTGCAGACAATTTTTTTGTAAAGAAGCATATTTACATATTTTTATAATTATTTCAAAACAATAATAATTTAATAATAATTTCAAAACAAATTATATAATAAAAAAATTTATTGCTTATTTTTTAAAAAAAATATTTTAATGATATTTTAGATTTTAAAACTCATAAAAATATCATATATATAAAAATTAAAATAAAATAAAATAATATAAAATGTTAAATATGCATATTTAAATTCTGTAAAATATATCTATTAAAAGAATGATTAAATATATTATAAAATATACATTAAAAATATATTTAGTTTATTCAAAAATAAAAATAGTGGAAAATAGATATTAAAAGAATATAATTCATAACTTATATTATTAAATTACATTATACAAGTTGTTAATAAAATAACTAAATAAAAATTACTGTTAAAAAGATATAAAAGAAAAGATATAATTATTTGTGAAAGATAAAATATAAAATTTAATAAAAAAATGCAATATTTATAAATAAATAGAGATTTATATATATATAATATTTATATAAATAATTTTTTATCATTGTTTTATTATTAAATAATTTTAAATAATTTTAAATAAAATGATTTTTATGTAGAAAAAATATGTTTAATATTAAAATTTTAAATGATGTTTCAAAATTGTGAAAACTGATTAATTGCAGATTCCTAATTTCAAGCAATATTTTTTTTTTTATAAAAATATTTGTTACGGCTTTATTGATCAAAAATATTAATCAATCACGGAACGCGTAGATTAGTCAAAATGCAACGGTATATGCTGTCGGCTGAGTAATATCTATTAAAAAAGAATCTGTTGAATATAAATATGACAAAAGAAGGGGACGCAAAGTAACAAAATAGGAGGGAGAATAAACGATAAAAACGAAAGGAAGATGCCAAAAGAAGATAATAATAAAAAATAGAAAAAAAATGACAAAGAAGATGAAGCATAAGAAGAATAATAGAGGAGAAAAAAGATGACAAAAAAAACAGGAAGATGACAAAGAAGGATGAAAGTGACAAAGAAAATACTTAGAAAAAGAATAAGGGAAGGAAGGAATCCTATGTGAATATTCTATACGAATAATAATTAATTAGTTTATCATGTTCTTGAAGATATGTAAGATGTAATTTTTTTCGATAAAAAAATATTTCTTATGTTCAACAAATTTTCTTCATACATTGTTTATATTGTTTTTATGCTTGACTGATGGCACATACTCAACGCTAATATTGCAACTTTACTAATCTATGCATTTCGTGATTGGCTAGAATTTTTTTGTTAATAACTTATTAATAAAGCTATAATGAATGTTTTTATAAAGAAAAATATTGTTTGAAATTGTCTTTAGGAATCCAGTTTCTATATTTTTGAAACACTCTCTCTCTCTCTCTCTCTCTCTCTTATATATATATATATATATATATATATATATATATATATATATATATATAT